GGGAAGCACACACCTATAGTCCCTCATTTGCTGGGAGCCTGAGGCAGGAGGATTGAGAGTTTGAGACCAGCTGGGGCTACATAACAGGACTATCTCACAAAAGAGACAAACAAAACTATTGAAACTCGATATGCTAAATCTAAACCTTTATTACTGGGAAAATGGGTCCACAGGAGAGCAAGAGGACTTGAGTTCAAGTCCTCAGCACCCATATAAGAGTTGAGCATGGCAATGCATGTCTGTAACCCCAACACTGGGAGGTAGAAACATCTGGATCCTGGGGGATTGCTGGCCAGCCAGCATGGACAAAGCAGACAGATGCAGGCTCGGTGAGAGATGCTGCCTCAAAAATTCAGGGGGAGAATGCCAGAGAAAGGCATCTAACATACTTTCTCGCCTCCCCATGGGCATGTGTTTATAACCCCACCCCAACAAATACTCAAATATTCAGAACAACTGCAATAACCCTATGAGACTCAGTGAGATAAGTGCCAACCTGGGTTACATAGCTGCTCCCACATGGTGGGAGGATGGGCTCTTATCAGCTCAAGGTTGGCTTCTGCCTTAATGAAAATATTATTGATACACATTGGGGGAGGGCAAGAAGATACTGGCGCCTAACCCCATGGCAAGATTAGAAATGCTGGCCTGGTGAAGGTGCCACCTTGGAAGACACACAACCCAGGGCCTGGCTGTATGGAGCTTGGTCCGGCCATTCTCATTCATCTCTTGCAGGCCCACTGACTTCTTCAGACCACGGGTGTGTAGGCTTGCCCTCACCCTCCATTCAAATTCTAGAAGAGTAACAAGATGGTGAGCTAAAGACACGGGGTGGGGCAGGGGGGGATGGTGTTGGTGAAGAACTAGGCAATATGATTTCTGACAGTTGTCTGGCATAATTAAAAAATTGTTAAACAGAGCTAAGGGGGGACTTCAAAAATAGATGTGCTTCTGGATGAGATTCTAAGAGCATGCTGGGGTTTCTGCTTTCATTTCTCTTTAAAGGGAGCTACTGTCAAAAGCTGGGCTGAGACTCAGTTAAAGATAGGTGGTAGTGACACATGGGAGCTGACGTCAGAGATGCTCTGAGGGCTGTAGGAGGTAAAAGGGCGGAAAGATGTGAAGACATGATCACCTGCTTGAATTTCCCATGATAGCTGTAATGGTATTTTTAACTCTATTCAAGTTATTGAAAGGCAACGTGCTTTGGGGTTAAAATCAAAACACGCATGCTCTGCCACACACAGGAATCCCCTAGAAGGATAAAGAAGAATAGAGGGAGGAAAGGAGAGGCTGGGAGAGGGGAGTCAGCCGTTCTTCAGCATAGGCCCCAGTACCGAAGTGAGTGGGTGTGGGTACCAAGACAGGCAGTCACATACTCCTGCGCACCCAAAGCTTGTGGAGTTCCGCATCAAGGCAACAAAGCTCTGGGAGCATCTATGGACATCAAGGCTGTAAGAATCATATCCACTCACCCATCAAGCCCCAAACTTCACTGACAGGAGCTGGTAGGCCACTGTGGTTCATGCAACCTAAGTGAACAGCGACAAGAGCCTCACCTTCAACACAAGGCCTGGTGGACTGTGTCAGGCAGGGCACACAAATGGTTTAGAGTCTTCCAGAAACAAGTGTTCTGCTTCTGGGTGGGACTATTCACACTAGAACTAACACAGTGGGTTTTAGCACTTGAAGACTTACCAGTCCAGGTTTTAACTGTCTCTGAACAACCCCTGATGTTTGTAACACGTCATCACTGAGGCCCAGGGATCAAGATTGTGAGAGCAAAGCCTGGGAAGGACAAGAAGTGATACAGCCTGGCTTTGTGTCACTGCTTTTCTGCTCAGCAGCCCTTGTCAAGAAATGGGATGTCATGTGGCAGTAAACATGTCCCCGCCACTATTTTTACAACAGAGATGCCTGTGTTAGAGACTTGGTTCCCAGTGTGGTAGTGTTGAAAAGTCTTGGGACCTTTAAGAGGTAAGGGCTATGGGGATGGGAGGTGACTGGGTCATGGTCACATTTGCACTAGGATAGCACTGGTCTCAGAATAAGTAAGGACTAGTGGTGATGGGTTAGATTCTTTGACTGAGCTATGACAGAACAATATTACCCTTTTCCCTTGCTTCCTGCCTACCCTGTGGTATCTCCCATGAAGATGCTATCCACTCCTTTATGATGCAGCTGGAGGTCCTCATCAGAGGCCTGAGTGGACCACCCAATTGTGGACTTTCAGCCTTCCAAGCTATGAGCCAAATAAACCTCTTTTCTTATAAAAAAATACTCAGAATTCTGTTACAGCAATATAAAATAGACCAAGTCCCTAAAGAAAACTTATGCTAATTTTGGAAGTGAAAAGAATGCAAGATGTTCTCAGCCAGAGGTTTTGCCAGAAAAAATGTACTAAATATAATTATATTTTTTCTAGTTATTATTATTGTGTGTGTGTGCGCACGCGCGCGTACGTGTGTGTACATGTGCTGTGGTGCACATGTGTAAATCCAAGGACAACTTCATCAAGCTGGTTCTCTCCTTCCACCTTTATGTGGTTCCACGGATTGCTTGGATATATTCTTACCTGAAGAGCCATTTTTCTGGCTCCTTAATTATAACTTAGAAACTTGTAGGAGTCTGGGAGGAATTGGTGGAGGGGTGAAAAACAAACACAGTCTTCGAGAGTAGTGTGAAGAAGGCTACAGAAGGAATTGCAAAGGTGCAGTATGGTCTCGTGGATACTGAATCTGTGGACTATTTACTTAGAGGCCTGATAGAGCTATGCTCATTGTGGGTACCAAGATCACACACAACAAAAGGAATCTTCCTTTGAGTGGTTTAAATTTGATAAGCAAACAGTCGTCTTCTAGATTTTCTGTGTGAATTCAAATAGTGCATTAACTCCTTGACAACTGTTGTTGTCCATGAATTATTTCTGTTTACAATGTTAGTGCAGCATTCAAGGTACCTTCCGAATGTTGGTTCTGAAGACTATGTCAAAGAAATTGGTGGTATGTTCACCTGCCTATTGAGAAGAGACAACTCCCAATTGGGATCACAAAAACTCAGAGAAAGAAGCTGGAGTTCAGTTCATAGGGATTCTCAGTGTCTTCCACTCTCCAGTGCCCGTGACTACATCCTGAGCTGCAGCCACTGGGTTTTAACAATTACGTGTGGAGTGATGCACTCTGGCTGGTGGCACCAAAGTCGAGGGAACGCTGAAGATGGAGCACAAATTCAGCGAGTATCTGGATATCCATGTTCCACAAAATCAACTCTGGAACCAGGTGTTGTGGTTGCGATCCCAACACTCAGGAGGTTGAGGCATGAGGATTATGAGCTTGTGGTGAGTCTGCACTAGGCAAGACCTGTCTCAAAGCTGAAACCAGCCATCACTGAGGACATGAAGAGCTGGCTACTTCTGGGGCACTGTACTGCACTTTTCTAAGCCCACAAGTCACTGAGTATGACAAACCTGCTCCCCTTTGAAAGGAAAGAATGCCATGCTTTGAAGTCCAGTAGTAGCTTCCTCATTAATCACATTGAAATTAAGAGGAAATTCATTAATGGAAGCATGGTGTTAATGGTGGTCTACTCCTGTACTTACAAAGCAGAGGCAGAATGGGGCCAGCCTGGGCTAATAGTGAGTCCTTCTTTCAGAAAATAGAGGGAAGGATGACTTCATGAACAGCTTGGGGCGGGGCTGCTAATGTCACGTGTTGGGAGTAGAGGATTTTTATTATAGTCTGTGTTTGCCCTTGTGCAAGCTGGGCCCTGCTGGCTGATGGAAGGTAAGCTTTCATATTGCTCTGGACCAAGGCATGGTCTTGGCTGTGCAAATGCCAGCAACCCACTCCTACCTTGTCTTCCTTCCCACGAATTTCCATTTTTAGTCTGCCCCTTCTATGTCATTTGAGCCCCCACCTCCCACTCAGGCAGGTGTGGGCATTTCCTATCTTTGCCTCCTCTACAGTCTCTGAAAGAAGCAGAGGAAATTCTCATTGGCAAAGAGAACATCTAGCTCCCAGTAGAAGTGATTCCATTCAAATCATCTATGGAGGTTGCTGGCTCTAAGAAATTTGAATTTAAGATCGGGGTGGATTTGAGCTGGTGCCCTGGCAGCTATAATGTGATTCTAGGAGCCTTTCTCCCAGCATTCCCTTTGGTCCTGACACCAACTCTAAGTCCTTGCCTGACTGGTCCCACCATTTTTTTCTCCTGCGCTGAACTTCTCATCTTATACGTCTCAATTTGGCCCCTGATGGGGTGAGTCTGTGGCTCTTTTCTCTTGAAGCTATTCTCTGATTGCTTACCCACTGCTTTGCTTCTACTTAGTTTGGCTAATAGATAATTAGATTATTAAAGCTGATTTGTCCTGAGGGTGTAAGTCCTGGCTTTTAAAATAAGTTAATCCTTGGGCCAGTTCTGTGGCCTTGATAATAGATGCCACTGCCCCAGCCTTGGGTGCTTTGTCTGTGTGGCCAGACAGGAGCCCACTACCCTGCTCATCTCATTTGTAAGTTTATATCCCCACCATACCTTGATGGGGGAATGTCCTTCTATATATATGATTCTCTTATTGGTTGATGAATAAAACACTGATTGGCCAGTAGCCAGGCAGGAAGTATAGGCAGGGCTACCAGATGAGGAGAATTCTGGGGAGAGGATGCAGAGAGGACTGCCAGAGAGATACCATGTAGCTGCTGAAGGAATAACAACTCTGAACAATATCCAGTAAGATAAGACCATATAGAAATACACAGATTAGTAGTAATGGGTTAATAATTAAGAAAAGAGCTAGCCAGTAGGAAGCCTAAGTCATTTGCCAAACAGTTTATAATTAATATAAATCTCTGTGTGTTTATTTGGGGCTGAAGGGTGGCTGGACTAGGCTGGACAGAAATACCTGTCCATTTACAATAGCTGGTGTGACTTTAACCTTGGGCTGAAAGTATGTATTTCATTGTCTACCTATTTGCACCTCGTGTCATGGTATATTAAAAATTTACCTTGATGCATTTTCTGTTCTTGCTTGATGGTATCTGTGATGGTTAGCTTCAACAGTCAAATTGACTCAACCTAAAATCACCTGGAAAAACAGTCTAAATGAGAGATTGTTTAGGCCATGTTAGTCTGTGGGCATGCCTGTGGTGGATTGTCTTAATTTAGTTCATTGGTATGGAAAGGCATAGCCCACTGTGGACAGCACCATTCCCTATGAAAAGGATCCCAAATGGTTTAAGAATGAAGAATTCAGGCTGAGCACAAATGAGCAAGAAGGTATGTCCATATTCATTTTCTCTGTTAATGACTACGCGTGTGGTGTGACTAGCTGCTCGTAGTTCCTGCTTTGACTTCCCCCACAGTGGTGAACTGTTACCTGAAACTGTAAGATGAAATAACTTTCTTTCTCCCCAAGGTTGATTTTTGTCAGTACATTTATCACTGTACATTTATGAGACTGAACAGTGTCTCAGGCCAAACCACCAGCTCCCCCAGCAAAGGCCCAAATCTTGTCATCTGGTTCATGAGACCTGGAACATGACAGATGCCCAGAAGTCCTTAGAGGCACTCAGGGGTTCGGCTAAGTTCTGTGGGGAAAACCCTTGCAGCATTCTGGAACCCCAGCCTTGCCCTGGAGCAGGGTAAAGAAAAGTGATCAAGTTGGAAAAGACAGCATTGGCCCCATTCATCCTGCAGCCCTGTATACACCTTTTGTCTTTCTCATTCTATCTGCTTTGTTTTTCCAGATGAAGTGGAACTCATCTCTTAAGATTATGATACCTCTAATGCCAACTGACCACAGTTCAGAAAATCAGATAAGACAAACCCATGTTCCACCTTTTCTCTTGCTATCAGTCAAAGGCAGGACTCAGTCCACAGAAGTCATGTAAATGCCACAGGAGCAGCAGCATGGGTGCCCGCCGGTTCCACTGGGATCTGGACTCCTGATGTACCACCAGCCCCAACTCTGGACCCCATTTTCCTCAGGTATCAGGTGTAAAAAGACTTCCACTTGCAGAGTTATGACACAGCTCAGTACTGATGACAAACCCCATTGTTAGGGTGGTGATGGGGGTCTAGGCATGGATCTTGTTCTCAAGCTGATACTTAACCACAGTCAGGCAATCACTAATGTGTTATTCATGGCACCTCGGCATGACTTTCAAATGACATTCAGCTGAAACAACTCCCTTCTATCTATTCTCATTTGCTATTCTGAGCTCAGAATGGAGGATGAATTTTCTCTAGAAAAACGGAAAAATAATCTCTTGTACCAGGTCCCTAGGCTTCTGCATGGACTTGGCCTGCTAAGGTTGAGGGATAGGTGGACAAAAGTTTGGGTGGGTTGTGGAATTTCTCAAGCCACTAAGGCTACGGACATGTATGGGACTTGCTACTATTTGGAGATACCGTGGGAAGGTGAGTCAGGCAAGCGCTCTGATTTTTCAGTGAGCAACTGTAGAATTTTAATTAGCTTTGAGTCCATTCTCTGCTGGAAATAGCAGAACTCTGAGCATTTCTTCAATAGCAGTACAGTAATTATAACAATTCTGCAAGGAATAATTTACAGGATGTATTTCCGTTAGCTTAGCGGAATAAGAAAGGCCTCATCCAGTTCTGTACTTGGTTCAGGCCTAGACTTGCTGTCAAGTGAATGCTTAACAGGATTGGTGCCAGTAGCAAGGATCATTTGGCTCAAGCTCACTGCAATATGCTAAAACGGGACTGTCCAACCAGACTTTCTGCAAACATTAAAATGTGCATCTTGTGCAACCTAACACAGTGGCTATTAGCCACATGTGGCCAACCAGAAGTTGAAATGGGGCTAGTTGTAACCAACATCTGAATTCTTAACTGCATTCAGATTTCTTTTTTACTGCATTCCAATATAATGAACAGAAATCTACAGAACCACATGTGGCTAGTGGCTGCTTCATGAGGCACATATCACTAAGATACCAAGAGGAGGTCCCACTCAAACCACCCTACTGTCTGGAGAACCAGTCAGAACTAAGAGGAACCTGCGTCTTTGCCCTACTGAAGAAGTCCCTCCGAACACTGTATCATGGTGTAACAGAGGCCAACTAGTTAGGCTTCTTCATTTGTTATCTGATGGCAAATTAGAAACATCCGTTTAGGAACAGGAAAGTACAGTGACAACAGCTCCAAAGTAAAACATTTGAAAACAGACTAGTCCTTGAAAGGGTGGAAGAGTGCTGAATTTCTGGACTTAAGGACCAACCAGGGCCATTCATATTTTAAAAACATAGCATTTGGTTCTGTGGACCACTAATACAATGTGGATATTAGGAATGGATGCTTCAGTATAGGAGACAATGAACAAGCCTAGTTCACACCCTTCAAAGTAGCAGAATCATGAATAGGTAGGTGGGTTTGAGTTACCTGGAGCACATAACTTCTGGTCCCACCTTTTCTCTATAAGAAGAAACTGTAGCACCCATGGTGTCTTATTGCTCTTGGGGGTGGAACCTCATATGCCTACCTTTGTACAGGATCTGCCTGAGGTAGCATGATCTACTACTATCCATGCCTCAGATTACCTGACTGGTCTCCAGCTCTACCGTTTATCCTTTTGCTGAAGATATCACCATGCATCTTCCATGCAACTTCTATTAGAGGATTTTTCCACCTATCCAAGCCCTCTTCCCTGGCTGCCTCCCAGATGCCCCCAGATCTCAGTTACCTGTGAAGAAGCATAAGGAGCCCCCATATCTAGGCCTGGTTCCCTCATTATTCCTGCTTCCATCTGAATTCCCATCCAACCACCCTCCCGCCTCTGCTTGACACATCTTCACTGCAAGCTTTTCTCATCTGTTTCCCCAAACAAGTGGGATTGGGTCTGGCCTGATTCATTCATCTTTACATTCCCTGTTCCTGAACAGTGCCCAATAAAGCTAGGTCAAAGAGTGAATGGATTTCTATTTCCTACCACTTCCACATCTTTTAAAAGCCTCTTCAGTCTCTTGAGATGACTCATGTTCTCTTAAAGAACCATCCTAAAGTTCTTACTGTCCAATAATGGGTTGTCATGAAAGCCTCAACTTGAAATTCCACCCACACCCTTCTTCTCCATTCCATTTAGCACACAGCCTCAGAATCATCCGGTTTCCCTTAAAGTTAAACCCAGGGAGTTCAGGCTGGCATGCATCTGTGGCCCTGTCCTTGGCGGCGTTGCTGTCTTCCTGTTTTCACTGCCTCCCCTGGTGCTGTCCTTGGCAATGTTGCAGTCTTCAGCGCCTCCTTCTCTTGAACGTCCTAGGAGCCCCTGGCCTCCTCACATACTTTATCTTTGACCCATCCATATTCTTATTCTAAACCCTAAATTTGCTTTGTTTTGTTTTAGTTTTCTTTGTTAAAGAAAATTCTTTGAAAATGGGAATGAAACCTAAACTCATTCCCAGCTCTCCTGGTTCCCAGTCCATTTGAGACAATTAACACTGTTACAAAGGAAGATCACAGTTGAACACTGCGACCCTTTGGAAGAGCCCTCCCAAAGCCACATTCCCCATTTCATACCATCTTCCCTTCAAAGAAAGCATAATAAAAACTCACACTTATCTCATTTATCTTCTCCCAGTCCAAACGATGGGCAATACCATAAGCTTCTTTTTCTTTAGAATGAGTTTCTTCATCAATTCAACAACTTTCTCTTTTGGATGGCTTTGTTCCTCACCAAATTCCTAACATAAATTATTATTCTCCCACTCATTTTTTTGTTCCTGTGTTTTGAGATGATGTACTATCACTCTGTAGCCCAGGCTAGCCTTTACTCAGAGTGATCCTTCTGCCTCAACTTCCCAAGTGCTAGGATTATAGGCCTGAGCCACCAAACCCAGACTTACAGTTTTCTTTAGTGTTTCTTATTCACTTACTATGTTCTGGGCACTGTTCTGGGAAATGGCAATGAGAAAGATAAGAAAAAAACCCCATTCTGGCAGAGGATATATTGTGTGTGGGAAGGAGACAGGGGATTGAACCCAAGTCCTTATGCCTATAAGTCAAGTGCCTGCCACTGAGATACACCCTCATCCCTAGAGACTGCATTTTATTGGTGAATAGGTATAATATATACATAATGGTATATATAAATATATAGGCATATGTGTATATTATATAATTATTTTAATTTAGATTGTAATAAGTTATATAAATGCTATGTAAAAATTTAAAAGCCCGACTCTACAGATTCTCCTCATGCTGTTACTGTGTATATGCTCCAACCTCACTCCTGCCAGTATATTCTTGGGGTTGAATCTCCAGTAATCTGTAAAATCCTAGATACAACTGAGGGAAATGGACTTCTTTCTCTTCCAAACTAAATTAAAATTGAAGGAAAGAAAGAGGATTTAAGGTCCTCACTTCCTCCTGTCCATTGGACCCTGTCTACAGTATCACATGAAAGGACTGGAAACCACGCTGTGAAATACATGTGTATATAAGAGGTCATTGATAAACTTGTAAGGCAGAAAAAAAGCCTGACTCTATCCTGGCATAGTATTCATGATGGAAATTGCAACTTTGTTCTTTAAATACAGAGTCCTGTCACACCATACTAAAAATTCTTATTTTTATTTTATTTTGTTTTAATGAAAGGAAATATTACATACTCATTCACTACAGAGAGAGCTGTGAGGTGTCCACTGAGGACAAGATACTGACATGCATGAAGCTGCAGGGAATGGAAGGAACTCTTCCATCCCTAATCGTGTCACACACACACACACACACACACCATTATTACCATAATGTTCCACTGCCAATAAACATTTAGAGAATCCATCCATCAATCCCGTTCAACAAACCTTCTTTGCTACTTGGTTATGTACAAAATATCTAGCAAATTACTATGAGATCCTCAGCAATAAACAGGATCTGCTTTCAATTCCAAGGAGTTTTCTGTACAACACAGAAGCCACCATTCCAAGTGAGGCTAGTCTGTAGCACCACTAAGGTACTTAGGAACCAGGAAACATACCCTAAAACAGTCACTCCAGTCCTAACTGTATGGCTTGTAAGTGGAGGCATAGAGAAGGACATTAGGAATGAGGGGTCTCCAAGACTCCTGGGGTCTTGGGGTGCAGAGCCTATGGGGCTGAGAAGGCTGTAGGAAGAAAGAGAGAGAGAAAAGTAGCCTTGAAGCTGCTGACACGCTGTGGGATTCTGGCCCATTTGGCCACAGACTTTAGGTCAAAACAACAGCTTAATGAGAACAAGCTCCATGTCTCCACTCTTGGGAGAGAGAAGAGCTGGATGTAGGTGCTGCAGAATGGCAGCTGGGTTCTGTTCTAGGAGGCTTACCTAGGACAATGACAGCTCTGATGGCTGGAAGTGCTGAGAGCTTTGCCTGCGTTCACTCATGAGGCTGTCACAATTCTCCTATGGTGGGGATCTTTGATTGCCTTTATTTAATAGATGGGGAGATTGGTGCTCAGAGAAGTTACATGCTAAAAGAGGCACAAGGGAGGGTTGCCTATGTTCATGTTATCCTGCTCTCAGGGCTAAGAAGGTTCTATGTTCCTTTGTATAGATGAACTCCACTGGCAGAAACTTCTTGAAGAGGGAACACATAGAGAGAGGTGGCTTTGTGATATCTCCATTAAGGCTGGTATAGAAAAGGGTGAAGAGATACAAAGGCAGGATCTCCTGTGGTCACCAGCCCTGCAGCTGTGCCTGCAGCCCAAGACCTCTCTCTGCCATTTATTGTCCAATGTTGACACATGTTGAAACAACATAACTTAATGTTAATTTGAAACTATAAAATATCAGTAAAGCAAGGCTATTATAAAATAATCCACAAAGTGCATGGAAGCCCAACACCAGTGCAGTATTTGTTTTGTGTCTGTCATCCAAAGTGGGCAGGTTAGCAATAACAGTAGTATATGTTCACATTCTGGTATGTGTAAACATCAAAGGCTATTGTACAGTCTCTGTGTCAAGCATCATCCTGGTGACTGATACGTTATGTCTGGAATTGTCTCGAAATCAGTCTTAGCTTGATGGTGCTAACTCTTTTAAGTGTTGTTTTCCTAGAGGCAACACTTAGACACAATTACCACTCCCTGAGGACAAGGTGGCCTCTACTGTTGAGACCCCGAGCCATGTTCCTGTTCCACCAATGTTCCTGAATAGTAGAACCATAATTAGGGAAGGTGTCACTTTAAAGAGGCACAGGTGACAGGGGCAGGCAAGTACACACTCTGGAATGATGTCACCACAAAGCTCCATAAACAGGAGACAACTTGTATGAACATGAATTATTTGCCCTCTGGTGGGGCATGCTAAGGAGGGTCCCCAGCTCAAGTGCAGGGAGACCAAGGGCCTGATGGCCACCATCCCAGCACTTGCCTCTCTGCACTTCTGACAGTGGCAGTACTGACACTGTCAAGAATGCAGAGAGGGTCTCATGTGTCCCTCCCAGAAGTACTGTCCATGGCTTCTACAAATGAGCATATTAATTAGCAATTAAATTAAACAATAAAACACATCGGGTCACCCCATGAATAAATACAATTTTGTTTCATATAAAAACTAGATTTTAGTTTTGAACAGTTTTAATAGAAGAAATGTTGTTTTATTTTATGTATCCAGTGAAATGATCCCATTTGATCTCACCCTTTCTAAAGCATTTTGTAAATTTTAAGCCTTTATAAGTTATGTGTTAACATACTTTAACACACTGCATATTCTATATATTTTGACATTTTTTCAGAAGTTCTTAATCTTCCTAGATATAAAATTAATATAGCTCATCAAGAATAAAGTAAGGGTGGGGGGAGAGGAAGGGAAGTGGGATGGATGGATGGATGGATGGATGGATGGGAAAGACCCACTATTTCAGAATGAGCAAAATCCTCATTTTTGCTTTTGAATTGCTTCAAGTTCAACCTCCAGAAACTTTTTACCCATCCATTTAATGGGTGTGTACCCATATCCAGAAGTGCCACTCTTCTGCCCATTTAGTGAGTGTACACCTATGGTAGTTTGAATGGAATTGGCCCCCATAGCCCCATGATCTCATAAGAGGTGGCGCTATCAGGGCATGTGGCTTTGTTGGAGTAGATATGGCCATGTCGGAGGTTTCGTATACTCAGGTTACTACCCAGTGTCTCAGTCAACTTCCTGTTTCCCACAAGATGTAGCACTCTCAGCTCCAGCACCACATCTGCCTGCACGCCGCCATGCTCCCCTTCGTGATCATAGTGAACTGAACCTCTGAAACTGTGAGGGAGCCACCACAATGAAATGTTTTCCTTTATAAGAGCTGCCGTGGTCACAGCAATAAAAACCCTAACTAAGACAACACCCCTATCCGGAAGTGCCACTCTTGTACGTATTTAATGAGAGTGCACCCCTACCCTGGAGTGCCACTCTCTTGCTTGGGACAGTTTGGTCAGTTTGGTCCCAAAACATGTCAAGAGCCCTGTTCTATGATGAGAGCACTAGGGTATCAGGGAGGCTGTCCCCTGGCTCTCAGAAGCCGTCTCTTTATTCCAGTCCACAGTGGAACAGTGCAGGCACCCTTGCGTCCTTGTAACTGGGACAATTTCCTGGGGGGGGGGAGACAAACACTGTATTAGAGTGAGGCCCAGGCACAGAACGGTATTACAGACCCCAAGCAGAAGCTTCAGAGGGAGGACACGTGTGACTGCAGCACTCTGCTCCTCATGTGAGCACATTTTTGATGCTCACAATCAGAGGGGGTGGCTACGAGCAGATTCCACTCACACTTTTCAGTCAGTCCGGGGGGGGGGGGCGGATGTTGCCCACTAAGTTCTCACCTGGAAGTCAACAGTTTCTAGCCCACATAGCAAACACCTTTTCCCAAAAAAATCACATTTTTGTCTGTCCTGCCATGGAAGAGAGAATTCCCAATGAAGAATAACAGCCTCTTCCATAACCTAACAACAACAAAGCATCCCTTGAGGGCCTTTGTCGAGTTCCCATGAATATGCTGGACAAATAAATTTCTGGTGTCGATGGGCTTTCCTACCAGGACTTCTTGACCCCAAGCTGCTTGAC